TTACTATGATGCAGATCATCCAAATTTTACTATGTTTTGCAACCTCCTATAGATCGGCGGGAAATGTCCTGTGACTGTTATAGTAATAGTAATAGGATTCGGTATTACAATCCGTTAACCCGTTAACGATAATATTAATATCAATATTTAGTATTACAATCAACATTCCATTAATTAATCTGTTGATATTAACAACAACAACAATAATATTGATTTTTTATTATTATTATTATGCTAAGTGAGGATTCTTTGACCATGTTTATTTATCTAATACATTATGAATTTCTACCTATTACTATTAAAACAAACATCACAATCTTTCAATCCTTTTAAGAAAAACATTAAATTATTTTTCAATGAAAAGAAAATTTTTAAACGATATAAAGAAACATGTGAAAGAACACGGATGGAACCTGTTTTTTAAAAAATTCCAACAAATGAATGTTTTTTGGTTTTATCAATATCATGTTATTAATATTATCCACTAATATTTGCTACTTAACAGATTAACCCATTATTATTCCGGATGAAAAAAATCCTAACGGGTTCAAATATACCATAACATAATTATAATCAATTTTTAATTCTCTTAGCTTTTCTTCTAATTCATTTTTTTCTTGATCATCTTCAGCAGTATCAATTAATTTTTCAGTCTTTTTAATTGCTCTTTCCACTTTTTTTCTTAACGGGCCCATAGCGTTAATCCGTTAACAATCCGGATCGTAATACTAATATAGCTGAACTCTTTATCGAAGAATACTTATCACGCGATTTAATATTGTAAATATTATTTTGTGAATTTGCCTCGAGTTTTGCATCTATCATTCTTAGATCAGTGTTTACGAGACGTGTATTATATTCAAAGATATCATTCGATCTATGAGTATTTTGTGCATAAAAATGAATCTTGCCACAGAGTATTGTAATTAAATTCGATTCATAACAGATTTTAAAATTTTGCTTCACATATAAAAATATATAATATCCCGCTATGACGAGATTAGTAGTTTGGCATAATGAGTTATTATTATTATTATTATTATTATTATTATTATTATTATTATTATTATTATTATTATATGTCATGTGCATCCATTGAGACAAAATTTGACTATACGAGAAATTAAATTAGCCAGTCAAAAGGAATTTCGGACCCTTCCTTCACTGAATGAACGTTGAATAGATCAACAATCCAATACCTTGCTTTGTATTTTACATTTTCAATAACAAACACCTTGTTTATAAAATAACAATCAATCTAAATTTTTATATAAAAGCTATATATATATATAATATAATAATCCACAGTCATCCTAAACAAAAACCATGTTTTAAAAAAGATAAGTATTAAGCTACTCAATAATTCAACATTCAACGTTTGATCTTGAATTATTGAATGCTTCCATACGATTCCTTTTCTTTTCATGGAACAACAAAATCATTTTTTGTAAAATCTAGTGGATAAATTTGTTACACCAATTTTAATTCTGTTTTTTTTTTAATGAGAGAGCATCTGAAAATTTTTTACCAAATTGTGAAAGGTTTATCAGTTTACTAAGGGACAGGTGGTCATTTTCTTTTTGTGTGTAACTTATGTATGTACTTCATTGTGACATTACCTCATCGTAACTAAGTCAGTTAAGATTATTTTGTGTAATAAAAAATACGATCTAAAAATTTTTTTCCCCAAAAAAATGAAAATGAATCGATTATTATTATCAACATCACAATCCTTTTCACCTTCAATATTACCAATTACAACACCAATAACTATTACCTCAATTATTAAACCAAAGCACTTCAAACTAATAAATTCCAAATTAAATTTTCGAACAAAAATCATAATAAATCAACTTCCTAAAGAACAATCATTAATAATAAAAAATATCAATAATGATAAAAGATTTAATCCAAATAAAAATCATTTTTTATTTGATAGCTTTAGATTTTTTAATTCATCAAATTTAAATGGAAATGGTAAAAAAACAATGACAGCAAAATTTAAAGAATTAACTAAACAATATGGCACATCAGCCCTGGCTGTTTATTTTATTATTTCAACAATTGATTTAGGTGCTACATTTATATTGATTCAATCAGGTGGAGCTGAAAGAGTTAAAAAAATAGAAAATTGGTGTATTGAAAATTTTGGTGGCTGGATTATTTTAAAAAGAAATAAACAAGATAATCAAGAAAATAATAATAATAATAATAATAATAATAATAATAATAATAATAATAATAATAATAATAATAATGAAGTTGTTAATAATACTTCCTCAAAACCAAAAATTCCTTCTTGGACAAGTACTTTAGTTATAGCATATGGTGTTCATAAGCTTTTACTTCCACTTAGATTAGGTTTAACTGTAGCAATAACCCCATCTGTTGTAAAGAAATTAAGGAACATGGGTTGGAATATTGGTAAATCAATTTGAGTAAAAATTATGTGTGAAATTATTATTGTTATTATTAATGTGAATTAATGTGGCAGAATCAATACACAAACTTCATTTAATTGCTAATAATAAAAATATCTTAATAATTATACTGATGATCATACCTTCTCACCAATGTTTTTGACACTTAACTTTATTAAGACGATATCTATTCCTTTTATGGTTATTTGTCTAATCAAAAACTACATAAAATCTGCAGATAATAAAATAATTATTGCAAAGATAGAAGATATAGAATAGGATAATACCAAAATCTACAGATTTTGGTATGACAGTTTCTCTCTAATTATGTGTTTTATTTTTTACCATATACCAAGAAGTCGAATATTATGTACAGATTTTGTTTTTGTTTCAATTTATTTCAATGCGATTATTTAACATCAACAGTTTTTATTCCATTCCCCATCAAAATTAACATCAACATCATATCATCTTTTTTATTATTATCATCTTTATTATCATTATTTTGTTAATGTTATCATCATCATCATCACTCACTCACTCACTCACCCAATCTTTCATTAAGTTTTAGTTTAGATAGAATGATATCATTTTATCCTTCAATCAGTTCTTGATTATATTTATGAATAAAGCTCCATTCCAATCTTTAGGAAAGCCTTTTTTAAAGTTGTTGCATAATTCCAATGAAACCCCTAGTATAATGATATTGATAATAACAATGATTATGATAATAATGAAAATTTTTTCTTCAAAAATTAATTTAAAATACTTAATGACCATCTATGTTAATGATGATAATCCTTATAATATATATAATAACTATTTTTTATTGTCTTTATCACATTCTTTCGATTATTAATGATGTGATGCTATATATTATAATTATATCTTTATTTAAATAATATATATAATATATATTTGACAAAAAAAATTTATTAATATGGGCGGATTTTTGCGATGCCTGTGTGACATGATAAATACGAGTGACATACAATCACATGTAATATTTTTTTATCTCATACATCTGATTTTTTTTATTAATTGGATAAACTTGACCCAAGAAATTAGTTATCAAATCCAATTTCGACATGGGGATCCCAGAGACACGTTCCTACTACTATTGATGTTTTTAACAGTGTGTTAAGGAAAAAACGGCGGTGACAAAAAATAAATTTTTGAAAGTTTATTAAATTAAAAAAAATAGACATGAAAATGTTATTGCCAATTTTCTGTAAAACTAATTCATATCCTTTTTTTAAGACTTTGCTAAATTCTCGTCACTGAAATTTCAACACGGAATTTTTTAGTTCTGACACAAAATACATAATAATCATATAAAAATCATACCAGTTTGTAGAGAAAGCGATGGAGATTATATATATATAATTTCATACTTCCAGATTTTCTGGAATTTTATCAATTGGAAATAAAAGAAATTTGATTGTTTTGAAAAAACAATTCAATGTGTAAATTTCTTTAATAATTGCACTAAAGCCTACATAACAATATGCTTCGAAAATTTTATACGCTATAATCTAAGATCCGCTTTTTCACTAAAAAAATGTTTTACAAACCGCCGTTTTTTTCTTAACACACTGTATAATAATAATACAATAACGTTAATACTCTTACCGCGCCTACCTAGATTAGACTTAAAAACCCTTTTTAATATAAGATGTCATATTTCTACCCAATCAAATAGAGAACGGGTCAGTTGGTGTAACTGAAGGTATGTTTATATATAATTTTAAATTTTGTTTGGCATATCAAACCAAACTTTAACTATTCTACGCTAAATATGCATAGATAACTGCTCGGTAAGCCTCTCTTTCTTTCTTAATAAATCGTTTGGAATTTGATTTGAATTGGTAGGTCAATAGCCAATGATTGAAATTTTAATTATTTCTCTTCATTTTTATTGGTTATGGTTCTTCGAAAATTTAATTATTATTATTATTATATTTTTGTATTCATTAGCAAAATTACGAGGATGACTACACAATACACAATGATCAGCCTCATCCTTTATATGTGAATGAATGTGTATTAATATTAATTATGCTCATTCGTATATTTAACAATTAGATGTTACACGTTAATTATATTTCCAAGAAAAACCTTTTGTAGTTCTAAAACATATGAATGCAAGAGATTTTTTTTCTTTTTTTATATAACATATAAAAGTTTTATATGCGAGTGAATAAATTAGTTCACATTTGGAAAACATTAAACTTTTTGTGGTGTGTTTATTGTAGTTGTGTGTCACATTTACCAATTAAATATTTATATATAGTTACAAAAATTTTTTTTTGCTCTAAAAGTTTTTTTTGCATTTTTCCACCCTTCACAAAACAATTTTTTTAAAAATTACAATGACAACCACAGGCTCTGAAAAAGGTCAACGTTTAGCCAGAGCAACTTACCCTACCTTTTATAGAAACCGTTTACCCACCCTACAAGAAGTTCTCACAAGAAAAACAGCACCACCGGTATGCTTATATAATTATTATCTTTATATGAGAGATAGAGAACATTCCTCGGAATATTTAGATTTCTACCTTGATGTTTTGGAACATGAAATAGTATGTAAAGCTTATGTAAAAGATATAAAAAAACATGGAATGGATGTAAACACCATATATCCTGATTATGAAAAATATCAACCAGACAGTTTGAAAAAAAAAGAAAAAGATAAAAGATTTAGTACAACAAGTAGTGATGTTATTGGTATAAAAAGGAATTTAAGTGGCTCATCCAAGGTTTCCAGTGATGCATCATCATCATCCATAAGGGATGGAAATATTGGCATGTCATCATCATCACCACAACATCATGCAGTTGATATTCCACCAAACGAAAAACAAACGACAACAACAAATGATGTAAAACTTAAAATGAGAGATTCTATCCGTTCAAATAAAACAAATACTACTGGAAATTTTTCAATTCTTAGTAGGGATCGGCCATTCACAAGAGACGATTTACGAGATTCAGCAGAACGAATCTTCTTTAAGTATATTAATCAAGGTTCAGAAAAACAACTAATGGTTCTGTCTGATCATGTAAGAGAAAAAATAACACATGCAATAGATGAAGAATCAGACACTAAATATAAAAGAGATGATCCTTGGATATTTCATGAAGCAAAAAAAGAAATATATTCATACATGGAACGTGAGCATTTTCCTAGATTTTTACAAGCAAGAGCGTTTAGTAATATGAACATTACACATATAATGTTAAGATTAGTAATAGGTCTTGTGTGTCTGTTGATTGGATTCGCTGTAGCATTAAGTTTAATTTTCTTGGATATAAAGCCAAATGCTGTTCGATTATGGGTAATTAATTAAAACACATTTCAAACCTTTATTAATTATTAATAATATTATCGCAACATTAACAATAAATTTTTTCTTACTTTCTTATTTACATACATACATATAGAGTTTTATACCTATATTTTTAGGAGTATTAAATATCATTGTTAATCAAACAGAACTTAGTCCTCTTTTTGTATTATTAAAAATAAGGTAATTACAATTTAGAGACAAAATTATTGTTCAATTACTTAATAGAAAATAATATATATACGTATATTTTTTTTTTTTTTGTAGTGAAACAACACTTTTTAAATTTCAAAAAATACAAGAACCATATATTTATCAATTACATATAAAGAAAGGTATTCAAGTATTCTGTGCAAGTTTAATAATTTCAATCATAGTCACACTGATTTTTGTAGCGGTTCCTGGGCATAGATTATAGAATTATTTATTTTCTGAAATTTAAAGTTACAATATTATAATAGAAAAATATATTTTTAAAAAAAACTTTTGTACATTAGATATATATAAATTTACTCATGTACTTTTTTATGTTTAAAAACCCCATAATTTTTTAATTTAATTTTTTTAATATTTATATTAAATCTTTTTATTTTGGAAAAAAGCGCGTCATAAGAATAAATATTTCTCATTTATATACGAGTAATAAAGTTGCTTGTGAGAAAAAGAGTCAAGGTTTGACGCTAAAATTTTATATGATGTCATCCGAAGTCATATTACTATACCAAATGTTATTGGCTACCAAATACTTTTCTGTGAAAATCTAAAATTTTTTTACACAAATGGTCTCTGAATTTACTTTTAGAACAATGTATGATGGTTTATTACAAATTGGCTCACAAATATTGTTTTTTGCATTTGGCTGGGTATTCCTCGTGAAAAAACTATTCAAAGATTATGAATCTTCGACAGATCGACATGATGTTCAATTTGTTCAAGCAATATTTTCACTTACATTCAGTACAAGTTGCGCGTTATTTGAATTGATTATATTTGAAATTATGGATGTAATGCATAAAGAGTATAATTGTTTCCTTAATCCTATTTATTTTATCTATTTATTTTTATTTAATAAACAATATTATTAACGAAAACCTTTTCAATCAAAATTCTAGTACACGCTGGTTTTGTTGGAAATTGACATTATACACTCTATTATTTCTTGTGATGATACTCATTCCATTTTATCAAATCTATCTTTTAATAACTAATATGCAAGAGAGTTTGTAAATTATTTTTTTATATTATAATTGATATATATATATATATATTGCAGAAAAACGTAACTAGGCTATTAACAACATTTTTTTTTTGGTAATAATTGAAATTTAAAGGATTATCAAAAAGATATTTAATAATAATATCAATAGTTTGTTGGTCATTACATTTTTACGGATTTTGGAAAGTGGGAGATTTCTTTCCAATTGAAAAAACCATAAATGTTCTAGAAAGTGGTAAGATTTTATTAACTTGACAATATGATCAAATAAATTTACATTGTAATAATATTTTAATGAATATTTTAATAATTTATTTGACGTTTTAGATACATCTGAATATAATTCGGGTGATCCTTTTATACAATTTGGAATGAGTCGTGTTGGTATATTAGGTGTTACTATTATGGCTATATTATCAGGTTTTGGTGCTGTTAATAGTCCATACGTCACTTTATTTTTCTTCTTGAGGTATTTTTTTTATAATTTTGAAATTTTAACATAAACAAATTTTTAACATATCTGTATTTATGTATAGACAAGTAACAGATTCTGATATTCAAATGGCAGAAAAAAAATACCTTCAAACTTTAGATATAATTATGAGTAAAAAGAAACGTATTTTAATAGCACAAAAAAGACAAAGAAATGTCAATGAAGTAATTATTTAATCGTTTGATTAATTTTTTGGAAGAAAAAAAAATTAATTAATTCTTATAATTCATAATTATAATAGCAAAGTTCCAAGGTTGGAGGATTCATGAGAAAAATGTTTAATACAGTTGCCAGTAATATCGGGATGGGTGGTGAGAGTATGTAAGTTTAATTTGTATTTTTGAAATAATTTATTGTTGATATGTGATTGTTTATTTATTCATTTTTATAAAAGATGTCAGTATCTTAAGACAAGAAATTACTGTACTTGAAAATTTAAGCCATCAATTGTTTTTGGATATTGATGATTTATATCAAGAAAGAGTAAATATAATACATATATATTTTTACACCTAATTAAAATACATTACTAATATTTAAAATTTTTTAGGATCGTCTTCAATATTCAAAAACTTGGCAAGGGAAATATTTTAATTATATGGGATACATATTCTCAGTATATTGTATTTATAAAATCGTTATGGTATGTAATTAACTAATCGATTTAATTCAATTATAGTAAAACCAATTTTAAATTAACATCTTTATTTATTAAACTATAACCTTGAAGGCAACTGTGAATATAATTTTTTTTAGAATAGGAAAAACAGATCCAATTACTTATGGACTAACATTAGCAATGCAATATTTTAATATAAGACATATAGATCTTGATTTCTGGTCACAACAATTAAGTTTTTTATTTGTAGGACTTATGATAATATTTTCTATTCGTGGACTATTGATTCAATTATTAAAGGTAAAAAAAATATTAAATTTTATTAAATTTTTATATACTTCAAAAAAAGTAAGTATTAAATTCCATCTGTCTTGTTTATCTTTACAAAATAAAAATAAAAAAAAAAAGTTTTTCAGAGCAGTATCAAATTCAGTATCACGTAACAATATAGTTCTTTTTCTGGCACAAATAATGGGAATGTATTTTCTAAGTTCGGTGCTAATGATGAGAATGTCGTTACCAGAAATCTATCGGAATATAATTTCATATGTGTTGGGATCTATAGAATTCAATTTTTATCATAGATGGTTTGATGTGATATTTCTTATTAGTGGATTGGCTAGTATGGTGTTCTTGTATTTTGTTCATCAAGCAAATAAAAGTAATGTAATGTTGATAAGTAACAATAATAATAACAATAACAACAATAATAATCTATCCTCACCATCATCATCATCCTCCTCGCCCACAACAACAAATTCTCCATCGTCTTCCCCGTCATCTGTTTCAAGCATAGGTGGTGGGGGTGGGTTAACGTCATTATCATCTATAAATGATTATTCAAACAATGCCAACAGCGTTGATGTAAACGGAATCGGTGGAGTTGGAGGGATTAGTTCTTTAAATTCAATTATTAATAGAAGAAAAATGGGTGGAGAATGGTATCATGTTAATACAAGTGGAATTAATACAAGTGGAATTGGTAATTTTAATAGCAATAATTATAATAATAATTATAAACGAGATAAATAAATCGATGAATACATAACCATATTTAGAAAGATTACATGATTCAGCGGTAATAATATTGATTTACTCAAAAAAAATATGCTTATTAGGGCAATCTTTCCAAATTTGGAAGATTTTAACTGCGTAAATTTTTTAGAATTGGCCAGTTGCGGCAGAAACCTATAGTTCACATTCTTTATAACGATCCTTTTGTATTTGCCGAAAAAATCCGTCATAAATATGAGATAATTTAATTGGGTCCCAAATTTCCAGCCCATTATGAAGCGAAAACCGTTATAGAGAAAGTGAAATGTATATATTCTTTAACCCGATTTTTACACAAGGATTTTTCTGTTATGTCAAGATTTTCACTGGATCTTGACATACATATTGCTAATTGTGTAAAATAGACCTTGGGCATTGAATCGCACACAAATTTAAATTTTTACTATTGATGTGGGCGGATTTTTGTCACGGGAAATTTTTAACACCTTTTAAGCTATTATAACGAACCTTAATATTTGCAGTACAAGTAAGTAGTTTAAAGTCTAGATACCCAGTGTTCATTTATTATTTTATCATTTATTATTGATATTAATCGTTTATTAATAAAAGATTTTTGACATCAAGTCACGCACTCTTGATAAGTCAGTAAGTCATTCTTTAAATTAATACCCCGTGTAACCTTAAAGTTTAACAGTAGGCCCATCATCATGTCAAAATAAGTAAATAATAAATAATACTTTACAAGTATTCAAATCATTATTAATGTCTTTATTCTGTTTTCAATTAACATTCTAAGCCGTAAAGTTTTTTATTGTCCAAACTTCCAAAAAGTAAAATAGTGATGATGCCTACTCTCGTATTACAAATATCAAGTGATACGCATTATTTATTATTATTATTATTATATCCTAGTTACTTATCCGGGTTGAGATTTTGAATATAAAAAAATTTTGACCAAGTTAGGCCAAACTGACTTATCAAGATAAACAATTTCGTCGTTTTGAATTTCCATATTAATATTAGTATGGGACATTCTTTATCGCCTAGGTTTGTTGTTTTTCAAAGAAAGGAATTCCAATTTATAAAATGTTAAATTTAATTAACGATTTAATTAATATTAACTCTATTTTTTACAATGGCCTTTACGCGTTTGATATATTATCGATCAACAACCTGCGTATAATTCCATTTTTAATTTATCATCATTATATAAAAATTTTCTTTATAAACGAGTTTTTCAATTTCTTTTTTTATTTTTTCGTTCCAAAAAAAGTTAATTTGTTTTTAATAGATACAAATAATAGTAATCAATAGTAGTAGCAAATATGGAAATTACGAAAATTTTGCTCATTGTCATTATTTTAATTATAAGTATCAATTTCACATCAGCAAATCCTTTCGACCGTAGGTATTTTTATTTAAATATCACAAGATAAAGACGATGATAAGACAAGACAATATCTATAATAATGATAATACTTTTAAAAAACAATTAAACGTTTTGCTAACCTTCTACCGTACGTATCCCATCATACACCTTCTACCATCATTACATTCATTCATCATTTACCAATAAAAGCTAACGAGGTTCCCATAGAACAAAAATCAATTTGGTGTCAACAACAAAAAGCACAATGTGGATTGATTTGTGAAAGCAGTACGTCTAAAGGTATTCGTACGAATACTTGTGAACCGCGGGCACTTGTTTTCAGTTGTGTTTGTAACGATGGAAAATCACCAGATCCTACAAGTAAATGATAATAATGATAGTAATAATATCAACAATAATAGATCTAATACAAATATCTAATATTTATTATGTATAGAATACACGTTAATAATTCCATACTTTATGTGTACGTCTGATCAAGAGAAATGTAAGACAGCTTGTGGGCCAGCTAATCAAAAGTGTACAGATGGATGCGATATGCATTGTGCGGCAAATGTTACCACAACTGCTGAAGTTCAATCTTCAACCACTGGTAGCAATAATCCTACAGTTAGTCCAACCTCAACGCAAGTCAGTTTTAGCAGTGCAAACGAGCCTTTTATGCTTAGTGTACAACATTATATAATAACTACAATACTTTTAATTATGTTATTTTTCAAATCCTTTTAATTCTTTGAAAATAGAAAATAAACAAAACAATTCTAAATCTCAATCGTTGTTACACGATATAAATGATAAATTTGGAGAAAAACATAAACTTCTACAATAAATAATGTGGTAAGTTAAATAAATTTTTTTAGCTTGGCACATCTATTTGTAGTTAATAAATAAAAAAATAAACAAATCAAATTAGTGTTTTGTACTCAAACTTGAAACATTGAATATTTAAGCTACATATGGTATGAATTAATGTGTTTGTGTTATTTTCGTATTTTATATTAATATTAATATTAATAAATATTGTCATATATACATTCAAATTAATTTGGCAAACTAAGAAGAATATCTATATAATTAGCCAATCAAAAGTTTTTCTAAAAATCCCATAAGTTGTAACACAGTCAGTATATAAGCTATACAAGCCCAATATTGACGCCTCAAATTTATGAGTAAGGATAATATAGGATTTGGGTGATACCTTATCCACCATATATATACCGCATGTATGTATATGTGATATTCACCTAATATTTGGCGGGATGAGAGACTGGCCTTGATCAGAGTTTCACGACTCTGGTCATGTTAGCCGGTCTCCCGTTTTTGGGTTTTATTTTTATTCATTGCCATTTTAAGTATATTTATCAAAATTTGATTTATTATTATTGGTTCTTTAAATAATTAAATAATACATTTCATAATAGTGACAAAATAATAAAACTAGTATTTCCCTATTGGAATTTTATATACAATTTAATCCTTTGCCGGCCATAAATTTAAATTAATAAAATCATCAACAATTTCTTGAAGTTTTACATCTGTAACTTCCGGAATCTCATAATTGAATCCGGTCTCATTGACAATTTTCTTGCCATCAACTGACAAAGAATTATTATATAAAAGTTCTTTGTCTAGATAAGGACTAAGTGGGGTATTTCTGATTTTATTTTTCTTTAATAGTTCAGACCAAGGCCGCATATGTTTTTCATTACTTTCTTCAACAGCATTATCAAGATTTGTCTGAAAGAAGGAAGTTTAAATATTAATAAAAAACATATATAAATTATTAACATTGATAGTAAATAGTAATAACAATAACAACCTGTGCAATTCTTGAAGTCAAAGTTCCATAAAAACCAGTTTGAATATTGAACATAATACTAATTAGCTTATTAATTTTTTCTTGATCTAATGGTAACAAAAAAATTATTATATAAACACACGCGCATATAATATTCCACAATATAAGATGGTTATATAATTATAGATACTAACCAGTGTTGCCCATATCAGCCAAATTATAAATTAGAGTTCCTTTACCGGCTTTTTCATTAGCTTGATACCATTCAGCAATATGCCACATAGCACGAGAAACATCAAGCACATGAACTGTATTGATTTTCAAATCTTTACTCCATAAAAACTTCATTTCTTCATTTAAATACTGATAGATTCTACCACATACAAGACGAGATGCTTTTTAATGTCATGTATATAAAATATATATTTACATGAATATAATTAATTATTTAATTTTTTTTTTTTAAATTTGACATATAAAAGTTTTTTTTGTTAGATTAAAAGAAAATATAATTTACTTATTCCAATTGTTGCACCGGGTCCATAAACTATAGCAGGTCGTAAAATTACAAGATTAAGACTAATATCAAAAATAATTGATTAAATATGCAAAAATTAAATCATAAATATGATGATGATGACGATGATGATACCCTTCAATTTTTTTTAATTCTTCTTCAGCTTTATGTTTATATTTTGCAATAGCTGTCCATGGTTTTATTTTTTCATCTTCTTTGCTTGGATTCTTTTAATCATTAAATGAATGATTAAACACATATAATTATATAATCATATTCTTATATATATATATATATATATACATATATATATGATACATACTCTGTCACCATGATAAATTTCAGCAGTTGAAACTTCTACAAAAACTTTAACTCGACACTTGGCAGCTTCTTTTGCATTACGAACTGATAAATTAAAAATGCGCTCTTCATAAATCTAAAATATATATATAAATGGAAAAATATGTGTATATTTGAATGCATCGATTAATTTAATCATAATTAGAAATTTTTTATTTACTCGTTCATTTTGTGAATATTTTGTTTCAGCTGCTAAATTGAACACATAATCATATGAACTCCCATCCTTTCGTTTAAATATAGATTCGATGATCGCTATATATGGTAAATATTTATTAAAAAATAAATAAATAAATGAATCAACCAATCAAAATCAACATACTAGGATTAGCCAAATTCCTTTGTAAGACTTCAACTTTTTGATACGCCTCTTCCTGTTTAGTGTTTAAACCAGCAGTTTCTGTCAAGACTTTATCGACGACTTTTATCTCGGAAGCAAGTTCATTCTCAACCAAATATGTGATAAAATTTCTACCAATGAAACCTAATCCACCAAGAACAAGTATACTTGGTTTAGAAGATTCAGAAGTCATTTTTTTCCTCGATAATAAATTTATAAAGTATTTGTATATAAAAGTAAAGGAATGTATGAGTTGGGTGAATAATGAAAACTAGACCAAAATTTATTTTACTGCTACCTCTTTGTAGTAGAAATGCAAATAGAAAAATAAGAGAAGAAATATAAAAAAAAAATAAATTTTTTTTTAAAAAAAAAAGAGGAGACATTATGTAATAATGTTCTCGTGTAACGATAAATGAAGATAGCGTTTAGTATTGGTGGAGTGAAAGAAAGTGAGTGATTCCTTTCCTTCCGGAATTAAAAAAAATTGAAATTTAGTTGTTTTTTTTACGAGTTTTAAAGACTTATAATATTAATATCGTTACCAATCAATGATTATTATTTACCAATAACCTGAAACATACAAATAAACAGTTCCAATCAAAATGAATTTAAAACTTAATAAAGTAATTATAAAAATAATATAATGATTAAACATCTCGAATCAATTGATTTGTATTTGTTTCTTACACAAACAATTTCCGCACCTCTCCGTTTATAAAGTGATAATAACAATATATAGTAATATATAATAATAACATGAGAATCATGTTCTTAAATTGATTGAAATAATAATATTTTTCTCAATAATATAATAAATAATATTTTGAATAATGCTGTATTAAGATTATTGCATCAGCCAGCTGATTCTTTCCCTCTACGTAAGAATAATTTAAGTGTCATAATCGAATAAAATTTATTTATAAATAAACAAATAAAATTTTTTTTTAATTTTCTTAATTTTCTTTTTTCTTCGTTTTAAATTAAATTTTAAACATATATTTATATCTATAACTATAATCTAATAATATATAAAACCAATAATACATTACAATATAAAAAGTGTAAAGGAAGGTCAGTTATATAATAATAAAATAAATAAATATAAATAATATAAAAGATGTGTAAGTATTGGTTGAGTTTTGCATTTTGAAGTTTTATATTTTTCAAAAAAAAAACAAATATTAACTATTCTTTATTTTTCTTTCCCTCTCTTATTTATAATATTCAGTCAAAACGCTTAGACTCCGTAAAAATTCCAAAAAAGTATCAAACAACGTAATAGGAGTATTTAAATTTGAAAATAAAAAAAAAAGCAATATTGATGTTAAAGATAGAGAAATTGGCGAGATTATAGATTCAAATGCTTCTCTACCACAAATTCCAGATATTATAGAAGATTTCAAAAAAGAAACCAGCGATGAATTTGATCAAATTCTACATAAATATTTATAATATAAAATGTATATTTAATTTGATTGGTCGATTGATTAATTAATTAATTAATTAATATATATATATATATATAAGAATTTGGAAAAAAAAAGGGATATATATATATATATATATTAGATTATTTATCTTGGAAAAAATTAGAAAAAAAATTCTTTAGGAATTCATATAAGTGAACGTATTTGTCACAAAATAATTTCGGGTTTATAAACTAAACATGAATGTATAAATGTGATTATTTAGTATTAGTATTAATGTGTAAAATTCATTGTTTATTATTATTATTATTATTATTATTATTATTATTATTATTATTATTATTATTATTATTTTAATTATATATAAAAATATTAGATAAATGCAACTACACCTCCCTCACTGCTTTTGTTGTTACCTCTCAGCTTGATAAGTATTACACATTCAAGATACTAAAACATGTTTTAAATCTTTTTTAATAATATTGTATTAGAAGTTCTGTGTAAATAGGCATAGGCTTACTTAATTCACATCAGAAACAGTGTGATCAACCATTTTTCATTGACCTTTTTTCCGAGTTTTAATTTCAACATGAAGAAAATTGAAGATAAATAGTAAATTTTATTTCTTGATGATGTCATGATGGGTGTGAAGATCTTGATGAAAATAAGATGAAAAGATAATATGTGCTGACAATACAAAGATACAAGAAAAATTAGAGTATTGATAAATGATGTAAGAAAATTAATGCATTATGAGTAAAAATAAAACGCCCATGCTTGGTTCATGGAACTTGCATATTAATGCTCTGTAGAAAATTTTGTAAATATAGAATGATCTGCAAAAATATCCTCCGCATATGTCACGTGATAAACACAAAATTTTTTCTCACACGAAGCGTCATTTTGGTTTTTTTTAAGTTTTGGGTGATTTCAAGTTTTTAAAATAGTTTTGGAGTTTAAAAACAGTTTTTGAAGTTTCGAATTATTTTTATTTGAATAAAAGTTCAATCATCTGATGTAATTGAATACCAAAAATTAATATGAATAGTTTGGAATGATTCGAATAATTCTTGTTTTTAATAAGTTACACAAACCTAAAAAACTTTTTATATATGAAAACCCAAGAGTAACCTTTATTCTTAAAAAAAAAAAATTTTTGTATATATATGTTCTTTGACATTTGTTTCATAACGCAAAATAAAAATATTATTTATAGTACTAAAGTATAGTACCATTTTTTTATACAAGCGTCAATTAGCAAAATTTGTGACATTTTTACTCCACTGATCCATCTTTAAATTTCACTCAGACGGATCGTCAATTAAGTAGTAGTGTTTTGTCAAACATCAATATCAAATTGTTATGCGCGGGATTTTTTCATATTATTCCAAAATTCCCACAAAATTTGATACGTGAATGAAACTAATGAGACTCCAAATCTGCGTGAGATTATCATTTTTGTGGCACAAAATCAATTTATATATTTCCATTTAACGTGTCATAGAAGATATGTATTAATATATACAATAATATTGTAATAGGAAAAAAACAAAAATGACTGACGAAAAAGATGTCGTAAACGACCTTGTATATAAATTTATTAATTCTTATAATATATATTATTTTGTTGTTGTCATTATATATTTTATGTTTTTAATTATTATTTTTATTAATAGTTTCTTGAAGATTGGCGTCAATTATGTAGAGATTATAAAGAAACTTTCTAAATAACAGGAAACGGTACAATTAGAGCAAATAATGAAAGTTTTGAAAAAGTCAATAAGTTTTTAAAACGGTGTGAATCTGTTTTAAGAGCTGAAAATCTTTGTGTTGGTGAATATAAAATGGAAAAATCGAAAGGAAAAGGTGATATTAAACAAGTTAATTATAATAAGCAAGAATAATCGGTCCAGCGCATCAACTTTATGTACGAGCATGTAATGCACTTAAAATTCAACTAGACACAGATTATGTTAATGGATCTATTATTGATAATGATAATAATAATGATGATGATGTTTAATATTAATTTTTTATTGTATTTTTTATTATTAGAAAATAAAAAAATTGAAATTGAAAATAAATATAAAAACTCATGAATAAATTTAATATGATTTTAATTTAATTCAAAACTACAATAAATAAACCGTTTTCTTCTTTTATCTGCTATAAAAAATAACCACAAAAATACTATTGTTGATATTTTGCAATATAAAAGAATGAATTGTATGATAGTAATTTTTCTTTCTTAAATATCACATTTGCTAATTGATTTAAAAAAACTATTGTTGCGTGAAAAAAAAATAAAAAAAAAATTTTTTTATCAAATAGTAATATATAGCATAATTATAGATGGGCGTCTAAATTGTTTTTGGGGTCAAAATAGTATTTAGACAAAAATGTCTAAATTAATATAAATAGTAATGATTTGCTTTAAATACAACTAAAAGTCACGTGTATATACACAAAATCCACAAAGTTCAGTAAATTATCCAATAAAAAATTCAATTTCAGCACGACGCCAAGTCGCTCCAAACGAATACCATTCTATGGTAAAACGGGGGTGTCCATTGTAAATAATTTAAATTTTATATATATTGTATATTTTAATCAATTTTAAATTAATAAATGTCACGTCGTTAAAAAAAAAAAAAAAATTCAATTTCAGCATTTTAGACAATTGAGACCATGATTGTCTAAATGTCTAAATTAATTTATTATTATATTTTAGACATTGTCTAAATAATTTAGTTTAGACACCCATCTATAAGCATAATACACCGCATACATAGATAAACTTGATAAGTCAGACACAAATGGTTGGACATGGTGTCCGACTTATCAAAATATGCAATTTTACAAAAAAAAAAAAAAAATAAGAAAATAATGTTTAAATCATTTATTTATTTATTATTACAATTGAAAAAATAATTTAATAAAACAGATAGAAGATAAAACAAAAAATTCTATTAATTTTCCATTTTAAATCTTTTCCTGAAACAAATGAACTATTTACTTGTATATCATTATTCTGTTGCAAGTAATCATATAGATTTTGAATGCGATTTTATTAGGTATTGGTGGGTTAATATTTTCTTCTTTTTCTTCTTCGGGTGCTTATTGAACTGTTGCAATAATTTCGTCATCATCAAGCATTTCAGTTCCTAAATCGGAATCAATCTCAATGTAACTTCCTGCTGTAATAATATTATCATCATTATTAACATTGATTTGATCAATAAGTAATCTATTTCAGGATCAACTTCCATAGTAATAGGTCGGTCAACTTCATTATCAGGTAGAATACCTGTTTTTTCCCAACATCTATCATAACGAAATTTATTATTACAGTAATTTATTGGATCATACATTACTAAAAATAGTAAAGATTATCTCTCAAGATTTACGAAAATCACGTGAACCGACTTATCGAGATTCATTTATTATTATCTGGCTGGAGGAGTTGTCCGACTTACAGTTTAACAAGAGTTTATATATATGTCCGACTTATCAAGAAATTTTTTAAATATAAAAAAAGGACTTGTCCGATTTAGGCTAAATCCAACTTATGTTATCTATGTATAAATAAAAATAATTTTTCGGAATTTTTAAAAAATCTTTACCTCAAAAATTGACTGCAATAGCAAGTTCTAATGACCTTTGTGATGTAAGTAAAAAATGCGTCACATGTTTAAATCTAGTTACTATTTTAAGTTAATTGTAATTTATTAAAAAAAAATTTAATATCTTGTTGGGTTTCCTTTATTTTTTAAAACGACATCCACACTTTGTGGCATACTATCTATTAATCTATTAATTCTTTCTGGGATAGTATTAAACCATTCTTCCAACAGGAGGGAACGTACTGGGAACACAAAATTAACAGGAGGGAACACAAAAATTTAACCCATGCAATTTTGTGATTG